ACCAAGGGTTTAGTGAAACAGTTAGTGTTGTTTCTCAGGGTATGAGAATGTTTCATGTAGAGTGAAGGTTTCGCGTAGACCGTTTCTTTGTGTGTCAAGTTGGAGTTTCTCTCTACATTGTAAAACCTCATAGTTATAGGTGACTATTAGGATGTCCAAGCATGACGAGTTGTAAAATTCTGATAATATTCTAATTCTTCGTCATATTCTCTGAATATGCTTGGAATTATTGTCAGCCGAAACTCTAACGCTGTCAAGTCTCACCCTCTTTGACTTGAACTAAGATTCTGAATCTAGATTGATTCAACTTTTATTTGAAAACCAATTCGGTTCCTTAATATCTCCATGGCAATTTTTTGTGATTACATAACCAAATGATTTTCGCAGATTCCTTTTTTTTTCTTTTTTTTTTTTATTCTTTGGTTCTCTTTTGAGTTTTGTTCAATTTAAAGACCAGAAATAAACAAGAGAGTGCAAGTCAAGAAAAGAGATGTGCAGAAACCACTTCCCAATTATGTAGCAAGCACTTTCAACTGTGGCTCTCCAGCTTCAGTTATTGATATGCATTGCCTATTTACATCACCATTTTCTTGTTAGAGTGGAGAGAAATTCATATTGAAAACATATTGACAACTGTATCAACAATATATTAGCGCCTATACTAGTGCCAATTATAATATGAATGCCATAGCAACAGTTGATATATATTGATATGCTTTTAATATTGTTGTAAATATGTTGTCAATATAAACCTCTTTTTTTTCTTTTAAAGGAAGACAACTGGTTATAAACCACGATTATCCATCCATTCCGCGAGCTGAGAAGACTCACAGAGACATTTCAACCTCTCTAGCTCATTGCCTTTTCTGCAGTCATAATTTAGCAAAAGGTTACGCTCAGCACAAAAAGGAAGTTTCTTTATTGGTGCCTTAAATCTCAGAATCAACCAGAGACGGCCTTTGTTATTTATCACTTTAATGGATTTTAGTTCATCTAATCAATAATTAAGTTTGCGTCTTATGGATCATAACTCTATATTTCAACATACAATATTCATCTTGTGGCAACCAACGCAGACAGATTTGATATCCACAGTCCAAAAGGGCATTCCCATCTCTTTCTGCCTAACTTTATACACAATTTGCCTACTCAAAACAATATATATATTTTTTTAACAAACGATATTATCTATACTAAAGAGAGTAAATGAGTGGATTATGCCTCATAAGTCATAATGGATTAGTAATAATGTAGTTCAAATTCATTTTTGTTGAGAATTGAACCTAAGATCTCTTGTTTACAAGTAAAATGAATGTCACGATACTGTACATCTCATCTAAGTTCACCCACGACTTGGGACCGGTCTCGAAAGAGTAATATGGCGTTTGGCACCACATACCGAACGAGAAAATGATGTTCGGCACCATATCCCGAATGGTAATATACCATTCGGCACTACATCCCGTATGCGAAAATGGCGTTCGGCACCACATCGGCACATCCCGAATAGTAATATGGCATTCGGCCCTACATCCCGAATAGTGATATATAATTCTGCAAATACCCCCCAAATTTAATGGATTAATTCGGCCAAACAGGGCCGAGGTGCTGTTTTTTTTTTCTTTTCCCAACTCTCTAATTGTTTATAATTAACTATCATATGAATTCGACATAAGAACAGAGTGCTGGTTGTCAACTACTTGATGCCCTCCCTTCCTTCTTTGTCTGGACTTGAGACCGGAAACATAAAATAAACTTACACATGCAGAGTTAATTGTTTATAATTAACCATAATTAAAAAATTTCAGCCTCAAACAATAGCATTTTCTTGCTGCATCTTGTCCCTAGAAATGTTATGATCAGTTATGAACTGAAAACTCAGAATTAACAGCGTTGCATCGAGCGTCATCTTGTCCTGAGTATGGACCAATCCGCGTTCTCCTTCGATGACCTTCCCCGTCCCAACTGAGAAAAGTTTAGGTAACATTCCATGACAGAGTCTTCATCATGCTCTCATCATTTCTTCAAAATATTTCATATATTAAAACTTTGCTGAGTCTGAGTCGACATGCACATCATTTGCGCCCCTCTTCAACTGTATGACGCACCTGATCTTCACGTCCTGATTTGTACAGAAAATGTTCTTTGTGTTACAACATGAGTTGCTTTGTTTCGACCAGAATTGCACTAACTTTTCACCTGATTAGAGATACTGTTTTCAGGAAGCGAGAACTTCAGTCGCTTTCCTTACGCTTACTAGTTTTTTGGTCGATTTTCGCTAACTAGTTGATGGCCATAATATTCAAAAGAAGCTTTAGGAGGTAGGGACAAATGATGATAAAACACAGTGCTCGATCCACTTGCAGTAAAGAATTAAAACAGGAAGAGCAACATGACATGGTGCTCCAAGATTATGACCTCCATAACCAAAATCTTCAAGTATCTAATCCATCGATCTGTTTTCGTGTGACGTCCACGGATAACTACCCTCACTATCTGCAAGTGAAATTCCTTTCTATCTTTTAATAATTTACAATCACTGTAACACCGTTATATTAAAAGTTAAAAATGCGTTTTGAACTTAAATATGCACTACTTAATCTAAAACATTGGAACTTAGCGATCGTTATCTGAAAGAATTGATGTTACAAAAGAATATGGAATTTGGATTCTCTGTTCTTAATCAAATGATGTAATCTTCAATAAACAAGAACATGAAATTCTGCAATTATTAGCAAAACTTGTGAATCAATATGACGCCAAGAGTACGCGTCTTATTCTTCTCTGACTACTCATAAACTCAAAAACTCTGCTCGAGAATCAATCTTCCACATTGATGAGTCAATGTTATACTATATATTTTATCCTAATTTTAGTATTAATTTATTGGTTATTTTGTGAGAATTTTGATACTTTGAATTATATTTCCAGTGTAGGACATTCGATTTCCTCTTGAGAAAAACATGAACAAACGAATGAATTTTGGAGCGATTCCAATTGAATGATGTTCATTTGTCTTTCAACTTGTTCATGTCAAAGTTTCAGATTTTTCTACCAAGCAGTTTATTTATGGCGAGGAAATAAAGGAGCAACGTGCAATGCTGTCAAATTGACGTTTTGTACTTATTTGGGCTTTTTGGCGTCCAAGATGGTGTCTTTTGGGTTTGAGGCTTTCTACAATTATGTTTGGAACGTCCTAAGCTTTAATTCTAGTCATTTTGGATCTGTTTTGGAGCCCTGAAGATCCAAAAACGTGGCTGATTTTTGGATGGGCAGATTTCCATATTTGATTAGGATTATGTTTCCTAGTTTCTCTTAACTTATTATGTTTACTAGTTTTTAGAAGACCTTTTCTAGTAAGGATTTTATTCTGTAGTGGTATAAATAAGGCTTTTTAACCATTAGGGTTTTAGAGAATAACGCATTATTTTGGAGAATTTCAGACTTTTTACCTATAAAATGTTTTCTATCCATGTTCTTAATAACATTTTATTTTATGATTGTTAGTAACTAATTCTGTTTGCTAGGGCGAGGCCACGAGCCTTAGTAAGAATATGTAGTTTCTTTTCTATTTGCTTATGATATTATGCATGCAAGTTTTGAATTATTAATCACTGTGTTTAAAACTATCTAATTGTCTTGATGATTGGCCAGCATAAGGATATTTAGAAAAATAATTTAATGCAATTAGCTTTTACTCTTACCGAGTACTAACTACTATATTAACGAAAAATCGTGTACAAAATTGGCCATGCTGCAAGGAGCCATTTCACACGTGATATAATTCAAGGCCTTCCAATTATTAGCAAGAGACCAAACTTACGGACCCCAAAAATCATGAAACTCAGCTTCTAAATCAAATCGTTCTTTGAGATACTTGACAATTCGCCGAGAAACAAGATAACAGAAGACTATGGGGAAAGTTTTGTTCATGGTGGAAAGTTTACTCCTGGTTACTCTCAAGGTTTTGACACTTGAATCATTTCTTCAATGGGGATCCGACCTATCTCTCGTAAGGCGCCTACTATTCTTCTTGTCCTTTGGTCTCCTCCTTGGTTTCCTTGGATTAAACTTAATGCAGATGGTTTATCTAAAGGAAATCCTGATACTGCTGCTTGTGGAGGAGTTTTCACGAATTGTCATGGTCATTTTCTTAGTGGTTTCTGCCAATGGATTGGTTATTGCAACTCTTTTTTTGCATAATTATCTGCAATTATTATTGTTGCAGAGTTTGCATATCAACTAGGTTGGCATTGTCTTTGGTTGGAAACTGACAGCTCTAGTGTTATTTCTGCTCTTCAATCGTCTGATTTTGATCCTCCATGGTGACGTAATGGTCTATTTGTTTGGACCGCATCCAGAAAATGACTTTTTACTCATCTCACATATATCAAGAGGGAAATTTTGTTGCGGACAATTTTGCTAACATGGGCTTGTCTTCTCCAACTTTAACTTGGCATGATTCTCTTTCACTAGTGGCTCGTGCTGCATTGTTTTCGGACTATGTTGGCTTGCCTGGTTACCTCTTGTCAAATTAATGTGCATCTTGACATCCATGTTTGTCTTACTTTCTTTTTTTTTTCCCTAACTTTGTGGTGTTGCTCAACTTGTTTTGCAGGTTTAGACATTTAGGTTTGGTTTCAGATGGGTTAGGTTTTATGTCCCCTCTTTTTTTCTTTGTATCTCTCTTGTTTTCGTTTCTAGAAGGGTACGGTTTATGTCTCCCCTTCTTTTTCATGTATTGTTTTTGTTATCTCTATTTTATGAGGGGTAAGGTTTATATCCCACCTTGACTAGGTGTAACTTCTTTTTTCGTGAGTTCTTGGTCATCATGACAAAGCACCTCCTGCATTAGATTTCTCCAGATATACTAGATTTCTATACCTTTCTGTCATCTCTTTCCGCTATGGACGGAAAATGTCATATGGTTTATGGTAATACAGAAGTTTAATTTAGTTATGCTCAAAAGTTGAACATGTCATATACTTTTTCTATATGGAATCGAAAATGTAAAACACGGTATGTATGTTTAGAAAGCACTCCTTCCGTATGTATATCACTTACAACCGCCTCTCAATTTCAAAATCACAAAATGTACACGAATGCATCCATCGTACAATCCTAAGAAGACATATATTTTTTTTTGGTAAGATTAATATACAGATTCAAAAATTTCATTGTGTATGTTATATGTATTAGAGCTGCCAAAACCAAATCAGAGAATATGTTCACACCAATCACTGGAGAAGAAAAAGTCAGGATACTCGTTACGGAACCTTTTTTGCATAGCACGTTCAAAACCGATGATGCATGAAGTTCATCTGCATCGCCGGATCTTGATCAAAGCCAAAAGTGCAGCATTGCCTGTTCAATAAAAAGAGAAATGGAAATACGTCGTCAACCTCTGCATTCAAGGCGAACAAGATTCACGCTTAAGGAAAACGCAAGAAAATCATACCTCCATAACATTGTGCAAGGGCTTATCATCCTGGGGACGGGGTTTCTTAGGCTTCCAACTACGCATTTCAGACTGTATTAAATTAAGATGCTCGTGTATCTCCTGGAACAGCTTCAACTCCTCTTCGCCCGCATGACTAATTTCTTGCCTTATATTATTCCTTTCTCCCTCGAGCCGCTCTATTCTCCTCCACAACTGTTGAAATTTCGCTTGCTGAGATTCAGTAACCCCACCACTCACCGCTGTCTCCCTCACATTTGAGTCAGCACTACTTGTCACAGTCTCTTGGTTTAGGTATTTTGTTCTCCTGCTTCTTGATATGCAACATTTTCTTTACCCTATCCATTTCATCTCTAACATACGCTTCTGTCGTCTCAATCATCACCAAATCCGGCTTACCAAGCCTCACAGTCAATGTACTAGGTTCTTTCTTCTCTCCTTCACCAGCTTTACTGTTTTCATAACTTTGTGGGACTTCAAAGACATCATGGATGCTTGAGGAGCACGAAGGGCTAACAATCGGTTCCCTTCCCTGTAGATTCTCACTCTGCTTAAGTTGATCCAAACTAGCAATAATTTCTTCACTGTCAGGTTCATTTTTTGGGCTTATGCATGTCTTCGGAATTGGAGGCAATGAACTAGTCCTAGATGGAGTACCCTTCAAGAGTACAGATTTTCCCCTACCATAATCTTTATAATCGGATATCTCTTTCACTCGCGCATCTAACTTCTTAATCTGCTCCCATATTGTATTCATGTTCCCGCCTGCATCATTTGGAGATTTCTTCTCTACATCTAGGCTCTGGACATTGACTTCCTGCTCCACCTTCTTCTCGTGTATTTTTGTAGCAGGTTCGGGTTTGGGGATCATTGGTCTGTCTCTATCTCGTTCTCTTTCTTTATCTCTTTCTCTTTCCATAGTGCTTTTCTGTTTGAGCAATTCCTTGAGCTCAATTGGAGGTAGAGAGTTGATTCTTCTAATAGCCCCGCTAACACCTGTTTCCCCACTGCCAAAATCGCCTCGAGAGTTTATTCTTCTAATCATCCCATTAACACCTGCTTCCCCACTTCCAAAATCACTCCTTTGAAACAACAAGTTCTCCGGATATACATTTTCACCAGCGCCTAACTCCGTGCTGCAGCCCATGCTTAAAAGCTTGTGCCTATAAGCCTGAAGTTGGAACTCAAGCGAAGCAATTTCCATTTCTTTCTGATAAATGAGATCTTCGAAAATGGCAAGAGCTTCCTCGGAATGACAGATCTTTTCCTCCGCCAATCTCTTGTATTGACTCGCTTCCATCTTCATAGCGGACTTTTCTCCTTGCAAACGCAATATCATGGATAGAGCTTCATCAGCTGCAGTAGATGATGCTTCTCTTTCCTGATCCAGATCATAGTAAAGCTTTTGCAGCAGTTGCTGCTGTGCTCTAAGTGCTTCAGTTAGCGTTGTAATATCAGTTTCAGGCATCCCACAAGGCACACTACCCTCCGCCATCTAAGTTATATGGCAAAAATCTGACTTCCAGAGGAAACAAAGCTATTCAAAATCATCAGTATTTACTTCAAATTCACATAGACAGTAACAAATTTAAACGCCACTTGAGGTTCCTAAGAAATGTAAAACTAAACTATTCAAAAACATAAGAGAAGAAATTCAGCTCACGAACCACAAAATTTTACAAGTAATAAAATCTCAATTCGATGAACACAACAACAAACTAACCCATACAAGCAGTAAAAGAAGAAGACAATATTGAGCATACGTTTTGTAAGAGCAGAGGCCACTATTTATATTGAAACAATCCTTGTGATTCCGTATTAAAATCAGCATAGGAAACAGAGACACAATTCCAATCCAACTCTGAGTGCTAAGTATCAAGATTTAATTAAAGTTTCAATCCCGACAACTTTAAACTCTTCAACAAGACCTTTCCATAGCAATTTAAAACACTATAGCCGGTTTCAAGCACTCTCAATCATACTCATATTCTAACAAGAAATTGAAAACCACAGAAACAACACATACAAAGGAACCGAGAAGCAAAGTCACATTACCTGATTGCTGCGCAAGAGGCGAAAACTTGATCCTCGGAGCCAAACTCAGTTGAGAAAATCACTGCGGAAAGAACCAACCGTGTCAAAATTACTTCTTCCACAACATCGAAAAAGAAAGAACACAAACACGAAGAATGGGAAAACAAATAAATAAAAACAAATTACATGAAACTTGTTCTGCAGAACAACGAATTAAGACAGAAGCCCGAAACGGAGAATTCTCTATCCGCGCTTTTCTGTTAAGGAACAAGCATAAAACAAGTCCCACCTTCTTTTTATCTGCAATCAATGAGAAAACGAGGAACTTCAACGAAACGCCGCGAATGCTTAATGGTTAGAGCTTCCCAGGTTCAATTAGGTTCTTCATTCTTGTCCAGATTAACAGCATGCACGCAAATAGGATTTAATGCAAGTACAAAAGAAGGCTAACGTAAAAAAAAAAAAAAAAAAATTAAAAAAAACTACCAAAAATTGAATCCTTGTTATTTGCCTTCCTTATAAAACAGCAGCATGAGCAGAAGCATTCATTCGGACATATTCTGAAACAGAAAGCATTGAATAAGGGTTAAACATAACTGTCCTAGCTAGCCTTTGTTTCCACGGAGGTAAATCATACGACAACATCGGCAAACACAAAATCTCTCTTCTTTCCGATCAACCAAACAGATCAAACCAGAAACGATGTCGTTTTACCTTCTCTCCCGGCGATTCGAGCTTCCCAGAACTTTCGATCGCTGTCTCAATAGACTAATAATCTAAAATCTTAATCCAGATTAATTTTTGTTAATCATTGCGATGCGGGACCCCTTCTCTTCCTTTTCTCCCGCTACCGTTTTTAAAGGGTCCGTCTGATATTTCAAAAAGTCGTTAGTAGCTGGTTCAACGGCTACAAATTGTACAAGATGGCAGCAGGTTCCTAGATATTGCCCAGTATACACCGACCACCTGAAATATTTATATTTTGAGAAGCAGCCGACCACATGATTTTTATACAGAGACTCGAGATGGGGATTGGGACGTTAAGGTGTCGGTCTCCAAGTCAATCTATTTATTCTTTTACTGGGTAATACCTTATCTCTGTGCATGTGGCCAACCATACTAAATTTCCCATTTTTTTTTTTTTTTTTAGAGAAATGACTTACATATTGACATCTAAAATAATAATACAATAACTTTCTAACACAGCATTGTGCGTAAATTTCCACAAAGTGCATGTAAGTTTCTTTATTTTTTGCGTGCGGGCAGACAATGCATAAATGGCTTGCACAAATTTAGTCCAAAATAATTAAAAGGGAAATTAAATGATATAAGAAAAAGCTTCCATATGGCCCATTATTTGCTTGTGATTTTGAATTTGTGGGTTATCCACATGACACATCCATGATTCATGCTTGCATCATGTTCTCGTCGAGGATAGGATGGGTTTATAATTTTAAAAGGGCAGTGCCAATCACACATTTATTTTTATTTACGTATTTTTTTAATTTTTTACTATCAAATCAAATGAATTAAAAAAAGTTAATGACTATAAATGAACAAGGTGTGCAGAGGTACAAACGGGTGCTGAGTAACACTATCATTTTATTTTTTTTAAAATAGAAAAAAGTAATGAACAAAGAAACAAAAGCGTGCATGACATCTTCATGAATGGACGACAAAATACAAAGAAAAATGATGGCAATAAATAAGGTGGGGGTATGGTGGGGCGGGTGGTCAGCTCCGATTCAGTCCAGTCCAGCCGGCCCCAGTCCAGACAAAGTACTCTTACTATTTCACAGATTAGTACTGTTTGCAAATGCATGTCTTAGTTTAGGAAGTATAAGGCTTTTTAGTTAAAATTGTGTTTGAAATTATCATAACTCTTTAACTTTGTCTTAACAATGAAAATCGTAAAAATAGTTTCCGTAAAACATTCTTTGTAAAACATCAATCAATTATTCTATTAATGTGATGATGTGATGTCGCATGGGTACACATGTCTAAGCATATAGTGACATGTGAATTAACCATATATTTTTTTTCTTTTCATAATATATAAAACCAAAAATGAGAACTTAAAAAAAAAAAAAAAAATCATCATATTTATCTGGGAAGTGAACCCAGACCAAAAATGATGTGACATGTGGTTAATCTACTTAAACTATTTTTTTTTATAATTAAGAAAATGAAAAAAATATATGATTAATTCACGTGTTATTGTATAATTGGATTTATGCGACCTAAGCGGTGCTACATGAATAATTGATGAATTTTTCAGAGAAATAAGAACATGATACATGATAGACAAGCTCAGAAACCATTGTTTCTATCGATCATTATAGTTTAGTCTCAAAGAAATATACTAATTTCATGGACTATTTAGCTAAAAAGCCCAGCCTAAACGAACGAATAGGATGCACAAGCAGAGATCATTCAAGAACAAGAAGATCTGAAGGGACATGTGAACTAATGTCAAACACAAATTTAAATCAACGACGGATGTAGGTGAAGAGTATGAGCACGCTTAGCTAGTTATAATGAATGGTGGATTGCAAGATGCATCTGGAAAAAGATAACACACTGACATGATCGTTAGCCCTGGTATTCTTAGATACTCGCAAGAACCAAATACTCCAATGAGCGAAGCTGATAACACTCGTATATGAACCGAAGCTGTCTATAAATTACGTTATAACAAGCAGAACTGGCGACAAATCGTTTCCATCTGATCTACTCCATAATTCTTGTTCCTCGAAGGCTCAAAGCCATGCAATAGATAAGAGAGCTTGTTGTGCCACTGCTTTTGACCCCGAGAAACCTAGCTCCGAGATTCGTCAATCTCATTTCAATCCACGGGAACCTCGACCTCCATCTTCAAATCAGAGTTGCCAAGAGTCTGTACACAATGAGGAAGAAAAATTTGACATCACTTTCTTATTTTCGGCATACATATAGTGCTTTCTACAAATTTGATAAGTTAAACTGAAATTCAATGCACGTATGATTATTCAAGTAATGTTTGCAAAAGTATTAACTAATCTGATTAGAGAAGAACCAGGAACAAATAGACAATTAAGTTGTTTTACACTCTTCGGTATATCAAGAAGTTGTTTAACATCTCAACTTCTTGAGATGTTAAACCTTCAAGCCGTTCTATCACAGCGCTAACCTATATCACATATATGCTGGACCCAACAATAGTGTGACTTCGACAATGATAACTTAAGAACTTCGGAAAATTTTCAGAGGGCCTCCATTCCCATAAGGAAAATGAAGCTATTACTTCTACGCCGAATAAAAAGTAAAAAGTCAATGCTATCCTTGAAAGTTGAAATCCATGCAGGTCGACGAAATGAAAAATTGACATTCTCTTTCCTTCTTTCAATCCACGGACACATGAACACTGTAAGATATGGTTTCCAAAAGGCAAACAAAATTGTACTAATCAGAGAAAATCTCATTGACCTCTATGGCATGATTAGGAAGGGCAATACCAAACAACGTTATACCAAAACGAAGATCCAAAATTCATAACACAATCACTAAAGTTGAAACAAGCTAAGCAAAGTGATAAAAATCATACAAGGGAATGGCCAGACCAGTTATATATATAATAACGTCCATCAACTACAACAGAGAACTCATTATGTTGTGGTACCTTCACAAAGTCCGATATGCTTAACAATGAATCCCTTGTGTAGCCTGATTCCTCAAGGACATGCGTCAATACTTGCTGTAGAAAAATAAAACCGATACGCAAAATATCACAAACACAAAAAGGAAACTTAACAGACTTGGTAGCTCACAGTCCCAGAACAGATAATTTCATTAATCTTGTATAAAAGAGAAGCTGAAGTTGAGTTTTCAATCAAAAGTCCTCTTTTTTAGTAAGAAAACCAATGCATAGTCATTTGGAAAACCCGAATCCTAGATGAAAAACCAGATTATATTTTGATCAGTAACTTTAACAGATGGTGAATACACTGAATACCTATATACCAGGTAACTGTACATAGTCCGCATAAACATATTCACGATGAGAAAAGCTTGTGCAATATATACTTCACAGAGGAAATGTGAGCACCTGTGTGTAATTACTGAGACTCGATGTTAACATGAATTACATAAAGTTAGTAATTTTCTATTCAAAGATTCAAACTTTAACATGGATGGTAAGAGAACCAACCTCCCTCTGTTGCTCAGATATGAACTGCCCCGTCAAATCCCGCAAAACATCCAACATGTCGCTGAATGCGACTTTCCCATTGCCGTCTGAATCATATACCTTAAAAATAACTGCAAAACAGATAAATACCCCAAACTGCAACTCAGAAACAAGACCAACAAATCAAACAAGCTCATAGCAGCCAACATATACTTCTAATATTAAAACTACAAATGACGAAATTATTACACTCGATTTTCTGCTGCAAGCTTGCACGAGAACTGAATGCTGATAAGAATAATACGAATTCCTTAAAGTTCAATCCATCCAATATCTTCAGCAATCTCTGAAATATGAATGTTAATAAATTTGTATTAAAAAAATGTGAAAAATTAAATTAAAGCCTCAATCTTTGAGAGTGAGAAAGAGAGACTACCTGAGAGAGAGGATTGACGGCGAATTCGGGAACGGACAAGAACTCATCGGCGGAGATGAAACCTCCGCCGCTGCGATCGAGCTGGCAGAACCGCTGGTACAGAGAAACTATCTCCTGCTGCGAAACTTGAAAAACGAAACGCACAAATCGAATCGAATCGAATCAAATCAAATCAAATCAAACAGCTCTGAAACATTAAAAAAAAAAAATATGAAAAATTCTTTACATGTGTTGTTACAGTGCTCCTGGACTTCTTCGATATCGTACTGTGTGAGCATCGAGGATGTGTTACCCATATCGGCGGTGGCGAGGAAGAGGCGAGATCAGGTGCGGTGCAGTCTAGGGGAAGATGTGGAAAGGAAAGCCCTAACGAGCAGCGGAGATAACAAGGCGCTTGTAAAGGCCACCTTTGCAGGGAGGGACAGGTTACACAGGTTGTTGGAGTTAATGTCGCACGCAGCGTGGTTGACTGGTTTCCGTTCCTCCGGCATGTTGGATCCATTTTTAAGTTTATTTGCTAATTTTGTTTCTTTGATAAATTTTAACAAAATGTAGAATAAAATGTAGTTAAAATATGATGACAAGAGAGTTCAAAATTTATAAAAATTAAAGGGTACAATAGATTAAAATGAACTTTTCAAGGGTCAAACACTAAGGAGTTTTCATATGGTATGTTTTGAATTCGATTCTAGTGCTGGTGAATTGTACGGTGATAGCCAGAGGAGGCTGAAATGTCTTTATGAGTCTGCTTGGTCCCCGGAAGAATAAACTGGCGTGGTCAAGACACCAGCTTTTCAAGGGTTAGGTCTAGTAATATTTTTTGTCATTTTTTTTGAACAAATGATATTATCTACACTAAAAGGGAAGGAGTGAGTTTAGCCTCAGAATGGGCTGGCATAATGTGGTTCAAACTCACATTTGGTGAGAATCGAACCTAAAACCTCTCACTTACAAGTGAAGAGGAATACCGTTAGACAGTAGTACCAAATAGCAATATATTTTGTCACTTGTATGAGAAAGTTATGAGATCGAATATGGTAAATAACAAGTTCGTAACTAATTTAACACCAATTCATTTAATATATCGTTGTTTTAGAAAATAATGATGACAAGAGATAAATTAAAATTATATAAAAATTAAGGAGGCAATTGATTAAAATAAACTTTTAAGGGGCCAAATCGCCAATGGGTTACAAGTGGAGGGCAAATCGCAGAATATCCTTTGTATAATTTTGGTTGAATTCGCTGAATATCATTGGTGTTGCGGTCAAAGAAATATTTTGTTTTCTCCAGCGCGTGAGTTAGCACCTGCCGCTACCACTCCCGCAATACTCAGCCTCTCAACCGGAGAAATCGCCCTGACCGGCGGAGGAGTAAGTCTGAGTTGCAGAAACCTGATTCGCGCGCAGGGACGGCGGAAGAAAGAGGCTCAGGTTGATTTCCGCGCGCAGATTTTGGCCGGCATATCACCTCACCGCTCCCAGGTTGCTTATTTCTGAACTGCAAACAATTCATAGATTAAATTTTATTGTCAAAGTAACAGCAGATGTCCAGATGATTTTTTTTATAAATAAAGAAGAAAACTTTGGTATTTCTGTAGACTCTTGGGTGAAATTAAGGGTTGCCCATTTTCTGATTTACTGAAAAACTAGTAGGGTTAAATTGCCATTGAAGAATTATGAAATAAATTAGCTAACTTTGTTGTTGAATTGTTTGATTTGTGGTTGATGCATATGGATTTTGTAGTTTATGCACCGGAGCATAGTAGAATTTTCATGATGCATAACATTGAAGTGTCATATATTTCTAACAGGATTTTTTTGGCAGACTTTTAAACTGAGAAATACTGATTCCTGCGCGTATTTGGTTCAGAGTTGAAGAATGGTGGGTATATTCATGATCCTCCCTAACTCTTTCGTTTTGTTACATTGTAATTGTTGGCACATGTTGATGAGTACATTAAGATAACGAAGGATTGAATAATCCTGCAAACAGAATCATTATATTGTAAGGAAATTGTGCTTAAAGAAACTCAGGGGTTTGTTTTTTGATCATCCAGTCGAAGCTCAATTGGTTATTCGTATTGATTAATACAAGGTTGGAAGATGGAACAGTGACTCCTCCGGTTATAGGATGCAAATGTAGGCAACTTATGGAACATGATGCAGTGTCCTCCTTTAAGTAATTTCATGTGTAAAGCCATGTTATCGGGTGCTGATTGCACAAATGAACTTCTTGAAACTGCTTTGGCGGCATATTGAAGCTTTCCTTTTATAAAAGACCAAATTGAGAGCAAAATATGAGGTTTTAGAACACAATTCGGAATAAGACTACCAAAAATGTAGGTGTCCATATCTGAAGCCTTTGAGTTTGAGATATGGATTTGATGCTAAGTTGCGTTTTGGTCATATTTGTGCTTGGAGATTCAACCTATTTATTGCGATTTCTTTGATCAGAGTGCGTCTGTACATGAAAAAAAAAGGGATTGAAATTGTGTGTGGCCTGTATTTTAGGTCACTGTAGGTCTTGTTCTTCGACTATAATATGTTGTTCGTTTTAGCCGTTGCATATTTAAGAAATTTGTACGGAATACAAGACTAAGAAAAATTAGTGATTTCAATGTCTCTTTATCATTAACGGAAAGGAAATAAATGTATGTCTGATTTGTTTATGTGTATGTTTTCCAGGCCATGTATATCCGTGTTAAGCGTAGTAAGACAACTTACTTTATCCAGTGTGAACCAACTGAGACAAGTTTAGATATTAAGCAGAAATTACATGATCTTACTGATCAACCGGTCAATGATCAGCGCTTGATCTTAGTCAGTACCGGGGAAGTATTGGAGGATTCAAAGACGTTGGCAGATCAGAAGGTATGAAACATAAGTTGCAGTTTCCTCCCTGCTACTTGAACTTAAGAGATTCAATACTACGATTAAATTTCATCACATTGACATTCTAAATACTGATCCATTGAGCTCCAATTGCATTGATATCTTCATTGATGTTTTTATGTCCTTTCAGGTTGAAAATGATGCCGTTGTTGCATTGGCCTTCAGAAAAGGCAAGTCTCTCATCCTGTTGTTCTTTCAATTCTCACCTTAAGTCAACACCAAGCTTATATTTGGCATGTCTACTTTGTTCTCGGGGTTGTTTGTGGTTAATATGGGTTGAAAACTGAACGCCTGTTTGTCGAGCCACATTCATGGATGAAAATACACTGCATCCCTATTAAATGGTAGCCGATGTAGGTGATGTAGAACAGATGGAAAGCTTATTGAATTACATTGGCATGAAATCTTGAAACCCTGAGGAAAAAGGCACAAAATAGGGCAGAATCTACATTCCCGTCGTGAATCGGATTGTGAAATATTTCAGACACTGTTTGAGGACCATTTTGATTTGGTCATCTTTTTTAAGACCAGATTGTGTATTGTTCTTTATCTTATGTTTGCTTTGGACTTGATGGCCTCCAGATGACAATGAGTTTGAAGAGGTCAACATTGTACGACCAGACGACTTCTATCTGTCTCGTGATGCAGATGCAGGCAATTGGTGAAGTCGGAAACATTGCTCCGGCATTAATCTAAATCTGAGATTGTTTCCTTCTTGTGCTCGGATTTTTAGGACAATAATTGTTATTTTTAGCAAACAGTTGTGGGAAAGTCTGTAGATGAAATAATTCATTCGTGAAATTGGCAGCATTAGTAGTATTTGTATGAAATAAACAAAAGATAGTGGTGCTAAAAAAAATGATTACAGAGATTATTGGTATATGATGGAAAACTTGGATAAATATATGGGAATTTTAACGAAAAGCTTTCGGTGCTATTCATTTTAATGAACAATCATATTTTTACACTAAAAGGTCAATTATGGTACTATTTACTTTATCTTTTATTTTGTTTTTATCGTTAAAACTTAAAGTTTTCAAGTTTTTTCATTAATTTCCCTTAAATATAAAGAGTTAAAATCACAAATAGTCCTTGTTATATTGGAGTCATAACATTGGTCCATTTCGATTAATGTCGTCTGCCACGTTATTGCTCGGTCCTCCATCGGAAACCCTGTTAGTGTGGTTGGCATGTGGGTAAAGTGTCTCCTAGCGGCTGTCTGTACGCAAGAATTTTTTTTCCTTTTTTTTTCTTTTCTTTTTTAGGAAAAAAAATAGACTAGTTGGTGGCTTGGTCACAGCAGTGTACCATTCTAGAGGCCGGGAGAACTCACAAAGTCATTCCAGCCTCTCTTAGCCACAATCATATGATTCACCAAATACTGGTATGAAAGTCGTTCCCAACAACTGGACCATATCTTGCTAATTCTCATTTTCGGTTGGCGTCGCCTAGTTGTATTGAGCTTGGCCCTTCTACTCCCATTGGGCCTGAAAAATGAAGGATTCGCGACCCAAAAAGGCGTGTCGATTCTCCGGAAATTTGCCTCCTTATCCCAAACCAAAAGCCCACTCGCCGGTCAGGAAAGCGCGAGACTCTCCGGTCTCCACAGCACAGCGGAAAAGCCATGTCCCTCCTTCCCTCCGCCTCCAAGCTTTGCTGAAATTGAAGCATAAAGAAATCACAAGGGACGTCAAGAACAAGTACGAGGGCATATGGAGGCTGTCCAAGCTCGGTGTCTCCGTCGACAAGGACCCAGGAAAGGACTTTCTCGGCGTCTCCGATGGCTTGCTCGAACAGATTGCCAAAGTGCTCGAATTTCCCGGTAATTTCATCCGGCAGCACTTGTGTTCTTTTTCAAGTATTTTTATTCAAGTTTTCACTTTTTTCATGTTCGTCTCTTGTTTTTCGTTTCAGGTTCCTTCGATGCTGCCGACGGAGGCCTTCACGGTGGTTCTGAAAGGTTCTGAAATCTTTTGATGCAAGGAAGGTATGTTATTTTGTTTTGAGTTTTGGTTTATGGTAGAAAGTTAGGGTCTATTTGGTATCCTATTTGAAAAATGGCGATTCGCGTCGCGTCTGTGAATTTGTTTCCAATGGTAAAGGAAGAGTTGTGCTGATTTTGGTTTTGTTGGCCAGCAAGTAATGTGCTGAAAGAACCGAAATTCGTATACATTGTGGAAATGGATGTCGACAAACTTCTGAGTCTCGAGCCTCGCACTTGGGACTTCATTTCCGAGTGGAGCCGAAAGTCGGGCTGGTAGAACACATGCCTGAAGCGAGAAAATCTGGAGATTTGATCAGTATAATACATGACTTTGAAAAAGTACATCAAGGTACAGTTTCTAGTGGTGGTGGACATAACACGAAAAATGGATCCGGAGGGACATACACGCACCCCACGGCTACAAAACCAAAAATAGCAGTGGTGGATACCGGACCATCAGGGTTGTTTGCCGCCCTTGTTCTTGCGGAATTTGGTGCAAAAGGAGAAATAAGTATACAGCTTTTTATTTTCCTACAAACCTAATGTTTAATCTTATTCGTTGCTTTCATTTTGTTGGTTTATTCTGATGGTCAAAAATAAAGTGTTGTGTTAAAATCAACTCCATTTTCGTAATACTACCAAGAGAAATGTTAAGAAAACATTTTCAAAAGTGGGACTCGTTATGGACTCTTCACCACCTCAGTATTTGGAATAATATTTTATAATGTTGGCAATGAAATTAACATTGAACTGTGAGGTGTACAGTTCATAAAAATTGACGTTAGCATTTCTCTACTGCCAATTGCGCAAGTGGATTAAAGCATTTAACATGCTAAACAAAATTCCACCCTAAGTTTTCAAAATTTCTCGGATCCTTCCAAAGCATACTACAATTGCTCGAGTGGATTACTTACAGCATGTGAACGTCTACTACAATTGCTCGAGTGGATTAATTACAGCATGTGAACGTATACTAAAATTGCTTAGGTAGATTAATTAGAGCATTAAACATGCTCAACCAAACTCCAATTATTTTACGCATATGGTCTGTCAGTGTCTATATATATGAACAACATGATAGATGATGATACTCAAATCTAAAGTTCATCAAAAGAGTAGTACTTACTACTTACTGCTGGTATATTCTAATTCCGGCAGGCCGACGTTACCCGATTATGGCTACCCCCTCCGGGCACCTCCTCCTTAAGCTGCTTGTTTGCACGGTGGTGGTGGTTATGGCGGCGGCTCTTGCGCCCAAGGCTGAAGAGGGAACCTTCGTTTGTGATATTATTCAGGTGCAGGAAACCATGTGGGCATGCAGACCATACATCTTTAAACGTGGGGAGTTGACTAAAGCTTGCTGCAATGGGGTCAAGACCGTCTACAGAGATGTTAAGACCGCCGTTGACCGCCAGGCGGCCTGCAAGTGCATCATAGATTTAGTCCCGTTTAATCGTACTAGTGAAACCCGGATTGCTGGCCTTCCTACCAAGTGTGGGATTCCCAACAATAACTGCACAATATGACAGGTCCCATCCGTCACAATATCTAATAGCCCAGAGCTAAGATTGTTATTTCTTTGTCATTTCCATTTACCTGCTGACTGCGCTGTTATGTTTAATTGTTCTAGAAGGATTCCTAAGCTCCTATCCGAACCTTCAGACAGTTCGTTGTATTAAATGCAAAGACTCGGATCCTGTATTAAGCTAGTATTGTGATGTGAGAAAGGCATGAATATTGAAGTAACTTTATCCATGTCTCTTTCTGTTATTTCCCTTTTACGGTTTCTATCCTATCATCGATCCTGTATTAAGCTAGTATTGTGATATGAGAAAGCCGAAAGGCATGAATATTGAAGTAACTTTATATATGTATCTTTCTGTTATTTCCCTTTTACGGTTTCTGTCCTATCAACTTGATATCAGGAGCCTATCGACCCTATGAGCAGGTCAGGGCACGGCTGACGCCAGCCGTTTCTGGCCAACCACCGGTCGTCTCCATCAACGCTTGCAATGACTCTTCAATCCAACTTCAACGACATTCACATAATTAAGCCAGGTGGAGTTTTGTTTCTTGTTTTTTCTTTTTCTTTCAAACCCTAAGTATATATTCCTCGGATCCCCATTGTTCATGTGCATCTACTACTATTGCTTAAGTGGATTAGCTAGAGCATTAAAAAAGCTCAACCAATCTCCACCAATCATCTTATATATGCATGGGGGGTTTCTCAATTGTTCTATGTAAACAGCGTTATATATAAATCTACGTACAGGTTCACAAAAAAAAGTACATATAGTACGTGCTAGTATATACACAGCTACAGCTCCTTAAGTTGCTTGTTTGCATGGTGACGTACCGTTATGGTGGTGGCTGGTGCGCCCATGGCGGCGGCAGAACCAGAAGGCTTGCGGCGAAACATGGACCCCATCTTTTGGTGGGGCGTTGACTCAGTCTTGCTGCAACGTGGGGTCAAAGCCCATTTGCAAATTAAGATGATGTGAGGCTACAGTTGACCGGCGAAATTAAGGCTTGCGGATTAAAAGAATCGTTAATTAAAACAATAATATTATGTTTGGATGAAGAAATTTAAGATTATTAGGAAATTTTAAAATGATAGAAATTGAAATGAGGGGATTTTATTTTCTAGAATTTGTGAATTTTCTTGTTTAGTTAACCTAAAAAATAATGGAATTGAATATGAAATTTGTTGTTTTTAAACTCTCAATCATAGAAATTGGGAAATGACACCTATTTATATGGAATTTAAATTTAGGAATTCGAGGTCCAAAATTCCAAGTTTTTTGTCCACGTGGAAATTCTAAATTTCTATGTTTATGAATATAAACAAGAAAATTGATTCATGTCAATTTATAAATTTTGACTTTAATCCAAATTCCAGGTTTATTTTCCTCATCCAAATATAGTGTAAAGGAATGGATATAATGAGCCAGTCTAAACCCTAAAATAAAACGACATACAAAAGAGGAAATATGGCATGAACTGATGAACATGTTAGAGAGAAAACATATGAATTTATTAATTAATACGAGCTGAAAAATACAAAAACCATGTATTCAGACTCGAAAGGCATTTCGGTGAATATCATATTATATAATATAACGTATATGAAGTTATGAACACGACGAAAACATAAATTTAAATTATTGATATATATATTCCAAAAATATTAAACCTTTCAAGTTTGCTCACATATCAACTAATTATTGAAAATACTACTACCCACATGGGAGCACATACGTGACTAGACTTGGCAAACGGTCAGGACAATTAATTTAGTCTAATTAGGAATTTTCTTCTTTTTTCATTTCTTTTGAAGCTTTAAAAAAGAAAAAGTGGAATGGCATTGGCATATGCATCATGGCCGGTTTGATGATTTTCCGTGATCTGATACTTTGCTATTATAATTCCATCACATGAGCACCCATGATTTGGTCATTTCTTGCTTTAATTCATGAATAAAATCTGGGTAAATCTGCAATACGAAATGGCATTATACCCATTAGTTGATGGATTATTATATATATTTCATTTGGGTAAATATAATTTTTTTTACAAATAATATTTTGCAATTAAATCATTGAAATTGCGGAGGGAGGAATCAAATTTTGGTGTAGAAGGCTAGTACACTCCTCTGGTCAACTTAGCCAAGTTTGCAAAATCTCGTACAAATTAATATCAGTTATTGAGAACTCGTTATGTGTAACATATAATAAATCAACCAAATGATCACTAAACTGAAAAATAATTAAATCTCATAAAAACAAAGGATAATTAATTTAATTGCTTCTGAATTCATGACAATAACAGGACTGCATTCTCTGCAGCTGCATGTTAAGAAATTATTGTCTTGTATGTATCCTCTAAACATTGTTCCTGACCAATTGTTCCCATTTGGATTTGAAAAATTAAGAAAAATATTAATTAAAGTCAGAAAAACCAAAGCAAAATGAACCGAGACAGACAACAAGGGGAGAAACTGGTAGGCCCTGAAAGATATGGTTTAGGGTTTTCAACTTTTTAGCAGACATGCTGTTTCATATCATATGATGTGTCCACATCTTCACACGTCGCAAAATTTTCGAAGAAAAGGCAAAAGTTTGCTTCAAACTTCATAATTTTCAAGTTTCGTTTTCAGATAAATTATTGCACCTAATTGCAGATTAAATGATTAGCTTACGTCCCAAAACATGGGAGGGTAATACAAGAGTGGAGGAAAGTTTTTTTTAAGTATCCCTCCACGTATGTGCTTGTGTCTCGAGCACAATAAAAAATCTCTTGTATTCCAGATTTGTTGATTAAATGCAGGTTAATTTGGCTCCCAGTGCTTGGGAGAGAGACTTAACCTTATACCTACGCCACCTTGACATTTCGCTCCAAGAACAGATGGCACCGCGTTATTTAGTCTGGGATGGCACTGTGTACCCGGTTATATAGACTCCAGCCTTGAAATGATTCATGTGTGACCAACTTTCACTTTCCTGGGTTCTTCCGAGCTGTAAATGGAGCTTCGAGCTTTCGGCTAAAAGCAGCTTATGCTGCCAATGCCATATATACAAGCTAGCTGTTTAAGTGGTTAATGTTTAGCTTATAGTTAAAAACAATATCATAAGGGCAGTTTATATAATTATTATCTTGTTGCTCTCATGGCCCCTGTAGGCTTGTAGTTGCCTGACAAAGAGGGAAAATATGGGTGGAAAACATGAGGAATTAGGGAAGAATTAGCAATAAAGAAGGGATTAACAATTAAGTTTAAATATGAATTAAAAAGGAAGAGCAAGGAGAAGTTGCTTTGGGATGGTTAGCCATGCAAATTTGTTATTATTTTTATATAAGTGATACCGCAGAAGAAGAATTCAAACGCGAAACTTCAGATGCAAAAGTAAATGTTTTTAATTAGCTCAGCCATAAGCTTTAATTAACATTTATTAATTATACAGTTTGAACATAAAGTTTTGAAGTGGAGGAGAGCGAAAATAAAGATGAGGGTAGTTCTTATAATCATCATTCTTCTTGTCTTTTCTTTTTATCTTTTCTTCGTGCATCTTTGGATACATAATAAAACTTACAACTCACATATGCACTGCTGATCATTGTCTTGCCAGCAATTTGGTCACAAAATGTAACTTTTGGTCTGATCAGTTTACATGTACTATATATATATAATATATGTATTTGTTTTTTTTCACTTAATCCTATTGATTGAGTCCATGCATATAATACAATTTTTTGGGCCCCGGGGGGGGTGTTGGGGGTGGTGAGGAGAGGTTTTTGTTTTTGGTTTATTTATTTATTTTAATTTTAAATATTAGAGATATTTTAATATCACCTGCATGTGAGGTTTTAATAAAAAACAGTAAAATTTGGACCTATGAAATTACATTATTGCCCATAATTTTTTTTGTGTGATAGAAGACTAAGCTGTCTTTTCATCATCTTTTGGTTGACAAAGAGAGTTTCATTAATTAATAGATATAATATAGATTAATAGAGATATTTGTGTAAAAATGAGAATTAATTGTGGGGCTTACTTTATATCCAACTTCAACGATTTGAATTATTTATTGTTCAAGTTGTACTTTTTAGATCATTTTTGAAAAATATTAGTCAAATCAGAAATGTTTAAGACATCAAATTGAGTTTAGAAAAAATTGACAAACACTATATTCTAATAAATATTGAAATTTTATTAGGACAATCAAATGAGTAAATAGTTTCGAATTGAATTGATTTTTTAGAAAAATATTCTATGAATTAAGACTTAAAAATAAACAGCTAGAATTGTTGGAGTTTAACGTATAATGGATCCCACAACTAGCCCTTATATTTACTAAAAAAAAGGGAGATCCCTTTGGATAAAAAGGATAAAAGGCCATATGTATGGGAAAAGGATCCTCTTTGTGGGGATCCAAGAGATCAATCAATCACGGTCATTCATCGTAAATCGTGCGGTTATAAATTATTTAAATTTTAAAATTGAATATAAATTGTATCTAACGAAAATTAACCGCACGATATACGATGAACGATCGTGATTGATGGATCCTCCGGATCCCGATAAAGAGGATCCGTAGAGGATCCTTTTCCCTATGTATATTTATGTAGATACATATAGAGCAGAATAAAAAATCATTGTAAGACCCTTTTAAGTTTGGCTTATCTACCAGCCTGTTTTGGCTTGTCGATTCAATTTCAAAAGTGATGAAAGAGTAAAACCTCCTTTTAAGTTTGGTTTATCTACCAGCCTGTCTTGGCTTGTCGGTTCAATTTCTAAAGTGATGAAAGAGTAAAACCTTTTCTGCTCTTCTTCTTGATTTCTAACATGATGGTGTTTATATAATATTTTTACCATTTTGTAGGTTACAATATACCAAATATTTCATCCCAAAAACTTCATGTAAATTGATTTGGACAACAAGGAAACATACAGCACCATAATTGCTTCTTAAGAGAGGTAGTCAGAACATAAGTATAGACAATATGATAGTGATACGTATTACAGACGGTTGTGCCCATGCCAAGTTACATTTCTCGACGAGAATTATAGAGTACATTAATTGTTAAATTTAACGGTTAGGTTTGAACTTTGAATTGAAAATTTCAAGAAAATTTAGTGGGCGTGCATTTGAATATTAGAAAATACAAAGCAACAATGGAAAACTGGTGTTTGACATTTTTCCTAGTAACCATGCTGGCAAAGGCAAAGCTCTGAATTTAGTACATAAATTGGATCACGCGGTCCTAATGCACGCTTCTGTGGAACTGAGCACAGGAGATAGGGGCCCGTATCAACGTAGGTGGCGCGAAAGCAACGTCCTCTCACGGTCCCTCCCTCCAAATTGTAACCGTTTCAGCGCAATTTATTTATTTTAAAAATTCCAAAAATCCATTTTTCAAATTAAATAAACCAGAAAATAATATTAATTATTTCCTCAAACACAAATGACTTTTACCTTTCTCCATTTTCCATTTCGGTATCTCCTCCAAACTCCGCCTCCTCCCGCCGGAAATCCTTGACTTCCCGCCGGGTATCTTTGACTCTCCGATCACCTCCCGGCGAATCCTTCGTTTCTGGCCACGTCTCCCAGCCACCGCCGTGTGACCTCGAGATTCGAATTCTCAAAGAGATCAACTTAATTTCCTTCCGGTTTCGGTGAGTGTCAAATATATTGGGTGTGCGAATTTAGGGTTTTGACGATTTGAGGAATTCGTGCAATGTTTTTCAAATTCAATATTATTTGTTGCTAAATTTCGATTAACCGTAGTTTACCGACGGTTAATATTTCCTTTTCAGTTTCCGGAAATTAATTGATTTATCATGGGTTTTCATTTTTTTGGGGAATTCTTGAGCTCTCGCTCTCAAGACTGAAACTTTGGTGTTTAGAGAGAGAGAGAGAAATTGCATGAACATTGAACAGGGAAGCAGTAAACGTGTTTTGGATTTGAGGGACACGGCCCTGTCGACTGCCGACATATGTCATAGATCCCTCGTTGAAATCCTTTTCAAATTTTCTCTTCTCAATTTTTAAAAATTGTTTCTGCGTTTTCATCGACTTCAGTTCTAAATCTATCCATGAAGCAAAAACAAATGAATTACGATGGTCAAAACAAAAAACAAAACCATATTTTTATCGAATTTCCGATTAACGATGTGTTTTGTTTACTTTATTTTATGTGAGTTTGCTGCTGTCCCATAATTCGATGTTTTTACGCTGAAAAAAATCATGGGGAGGGACGATAATCCTTCTTCCACGTGGACCTCCGTGTCTTTTTCTCATTTCCCGAAGAACAATAGCACCTGCAAGTTTCAACCTTCTTATGATTGGAGATTTTAATATTGTTGATGCAGACAAAACCCCACAGAAGCAAAGGGGATTTTTATTGTTTTTTCGCAAATTTTTGTGTGAGACTGTGGGAGTCAAAAAATAGGAGAAAACCCCTTTTAAGCATTATTTTAGTTAAGTAAGTAAATTTATGGCAGTTGATCCGGATTACTCTGTATTTAAGTTTTGTTTTGGAAAGAGTTAGAGAGAGAGAGAGAGAGAGAGAGAGGTTAGAGAGAGAAAGCTAAAAGCTTTGGATTGTTTCTGCAAGTTTTGGGATCGCTTTCATTGAATTCCCTTTCAGACAGAGAGTTGCGAGAGAAGGGAAAACTGGGCAGAGAGAGAGAGAGAGAGAGAGAGTGGGGTTTTGTTGTGTGAGTTGAGTTGAGTTGGCCCATTTTCCAGCCCGACCGACCATGGCACTCCCGTGAGAGGGACCAGAGCAAAAATCAAAAGGCAACACGCTTTAACCAGCACACACGGTACAACCCTTCCTTTTCTCTCATCCTGCACCCTCATCCTACACCCTCACCACTGTCCACTCTCTCTTCCCAATCTCCCCAGTAATCCTTTGTGTCCCTACCAGCCCTACCCTTGCATTCAGTTTTGTGGGTTATCAAAACCAACCTCCAACCATAACCGTTTTTGGCACCAGATGTTGTTTACCCCCTTCCTAATTTCATTGCCATGGCCTGATCTGATTGGATTTGGGCTTGTTTGTGTGGAAACAGAATACCCTTTTGACAGTATTTGCTCTAGTTCCCAGATTGATTCTCAATTGGATCTGAGTCTCTGTAAAGATGTATGCTTTTTTTTTTTTCAATGTTCCTTTTTCTTTTTTCTTGGTTGTTTATTCTTTGCTTTTCTTAGCCCCTCCCTCTGCCGCTGTCTCTTACTTTTGATTTGTGCGTTTTGTGGCAGATTTATTGCTGGGAAAAGTATCTTCTTTTCAAGAAACAGGTTGTGTTATTCCATTGAGTGTTGATATATGAATGTGATGGGATTATATGAAATGCAAAAGGATGTTGAGTACGTAAATTTGGTTTGATGAAATGAAAGAATCGAATTCCATCAATGCGGTTTGAATTTGATCTGGATAGTGTGGATGGATGTGCGTGAATCAGCCCTAGCAGCGCTGAGGAAGCAAATAGCCGTGGAGAACCCAAGACTGCCGTTGGTTCCCGCAGGGAGGAACAACAATGCAGTCACTACCCGCCACCCTCGGACGAGAGAAGTTAGTTCTAGGTACAAGTCTCCCACTACCTCCTCAACAACTCCCTCATCGCCTTCTGGTGCCCGGCGCTGCCCATCGCCAACCCTTACAAGAACATCGCGTCCATCCTCACCGTTGGTGTCCAAGAGATCCCAATCTGTGGATAGGAAGCGGCCTTCCACACCCACTTCCCCACCAAGTCCATCAACGCCCGTCCAGGATTCTTCTGCAGATGTGCAATTGTCGTCCAGAAGAACAGCGAACGGTCGAATGCCGGAGGGTTTATGGCCTTCCACTATGAGGAGTTTGAGCGTTTCCTTCCAATCTGATAGCATTTCAATTCCCGTTAGTAAGAAGGAAAAACCAGTGACAAGTGCTCTGTCTGACCGCACTTTGAGGTCATCTTCGAATGTGGCTCATAGACAGGCTGAAACGCCTGCTGCTTCTCGAAAGCTCACACCAGAGAGAAAAAGGAGCCCTGTTAAGGGGAAAAATGCGCCTGATCAATCAGAGAATTCTAAGCCGGTTGATGCCTTGCATTCCAGATTGATAGATCAGCATCGTTGGCCAAGTAGAATAGGTGGAAAAGTATCTTCCAATTCATTAAATAGAAGTGTAGATCTTGGTGCTAAGATTGTCGGGCTTGCTGCACCAGCTCCTGTAGTTGGGTTGTCTACACTGAGGAGAACACGGCCATCTGATTCTTCGGGTAAACCTTTACAAAAATCCAATAGTGATGCTGCTGCGTTATTATCACTTCATCAAAGTGGTAGAGCAGGACTTGGAGCTTCAGCTGATGGTAATTCCCTGCAGGTATCTGGACCTCACAAGCTTGCCTCGACAAGTTTAACAGGCAGGTTGTCATCAACAAGTCATTCACTGAAATCTCAATCTTTGCCTAGTACTCCATCACAATCACGACCATCCTCGCCTAGTAGGAGCTCAATGTTTGCATCCTCTGTTACCAGAGGTTTAAGCCCGTCTCGATCAAGACCATCTACTCCTCCTTCAAGAGGAGTTAGCCCATCTAAGGCAAGGCCATCTGGTACTTCTAGTCAGTCAAGCAGTTCAACTTCTGTGCTTAGTTTCATAGCAGATTTTAAGGGGAAAAAAGGTGCAAGTTGCATTGAAGATGCTCATCAGTTGCGGTTACTTTACAATAGATGTTTGCAATGGCGATTTGCTAATGCAAGGGCAGAGGCTGTACTTTATGTTCTGAAAGTAAATGCAGAGGTGAGTGTTTGTTCCCTTTGAATTAGAAAACTTTTAGGCATAAGTCTTTGACCTACTAATTTCTTAACTATTTCCTAGTATTGTTTTTCATGTCCCATCTTACTAATTTCAGATTACTGAATGGTTTTATCAATGGTATTGATTTGTTGCATGGTCAGGGTTGTGCAAACTTATTGCAAATTTGCAAGTGAAGATTATTATGTCAACTAACTTACATCGGAATTTAATTGATGTTGCAGAGAACTTTATTGAATGTGTGGAACACTACACTAAGCTTGTGGGACTCAGTAATCAAGAAACGAATTGATCTCCAGCAGTTGAAGCTTGAACTTAAGCTGAAGTCAGTATTGAATGATCAAGTAATGCCTCTTTCCCACAACAGTGATGACATGTTATCTGCGATGTTTTTATTGATTGCATTAATCCATAAAGGTTCCTGTAAGTCAATGACTAGGTTATGACGGAAAATATATAAGAATTTAGTGTGGTCATCAGATTATTCCACCAGGCAGTTGGGATGCATTCTAAGATTTGATCCGTGTGAACCTTTGGAAAATGTTTGAAATTGGTTTTAACTGGCCTTGTTATCAGGGACTAGGAACTATTTTTGAGAATCCATCTGTCTAATAGAAGAGAGTTGGCAATGAAGGCAAACCTATCATCATGTTCTGTTTGTAATCATATTCAGTTCGTAAAACCGAGCAAAATAGTGCCAAGGTTGACATTTGTTAGAAATAATAAGTCATGTTGTGCATGTCTTAGTTCAGAGGTTTCCTGTTAAATTTTGGTCTCATATTATATATTATTATTATTATTATTTATTTATTTTTGAACTTATACCCTTTCTAATTATTGGTCAGATGGCTTACCTTGATGACTGGGATTTACTTGAAAGCGATCATATTGCTGCATTCTCGGGGGCTATGGAAGATTTGGAGGCAAGCACTCTGCGTCTTCCAGTGACTGGAGGGGCAAGGGTATGTTAAGTTGTAAAAGATCATTAATTTGATTTATGGAAAGAGACTTTTTCTCATCACTATAAACTTACACTTTTACAGGCAGATTTGGATTCTTTGAAGGTAGCAATCTGCTCAGCTGTTGATGTGATGCAGGCAATGGCATCCTCCATATGCTCTTTGCTCTCACAGGTGAGATTCATGTTTCTATATTTTCACGTTGACCACGTTGTGATAGCTTTCAACCTTCTTCCTTTTATCACATTCTTTATGACATACACTGAGTAGCAACTACGATCAATGATGTAGAGGTTGCATATCTTGTGAAAAAAAAAAAAAAAATTGTGTTTGAAGGATATTATCTTTCGGAAAAGACAGACCTAAGAACACAGAACTTTACATTCATGTGATGTAGGTGGAGGGCGTGAACAGTTTGGTTTCTGAACTTGCTGTTGTAGCAGCACAGGAGAAAGCCATGCTTGACGAGTGTGAAGCGCTGCTGGCTTCAGCAGCAGCTATGCAGGTAAAACAATTAGACCATTTATTTTAAAGAACAGAATGTAATTAGGAAAAGCAAATACTTTTGAATGCTTTGGGAGGTTGGGGGCTCTGTTATATATGTTATGTCGTAGTATTGAATGTTCTTCAGTTTGATGAACACTGATTTCTTGTCAACCGATCGTGTCTTCAGTTTGATAAATCATGTTGCAACATTAATTGCTGATAAAAACTGTACTTGATTAACTTTTGATTACTGGCTGCTCAAAACAGGTAGAGGAATACAGCCTGAGGACCCATCTCATGCAAACGAAACAAGACTTGGCAAAGGCGAGCGGCCAATTTTGGCAACCAAGACATCTTCTTGATCCTGACTAGCTTCAAAGCCAATAAGAAAAGCTCGCATTGTCAATTCCGAAGGGATAAATACATACCCGGGCAGAGATAAGTGTCTCCGTCAGTTCACCGTGATTGTAAATTGATTTTTCGTTTTTAGCCTTGGAATGTCATCTTGTTATATTCCAATTTTTTTTCTTTCTTTTCGGAGCAAAGGGCCGATGGCTCCGTGCTTTCCGGTGTAATTTTTTGTGTTACGCAGATGAAAAGGAAATGCAAAGGAAGCAAAGGATTGAATTCAGTGTAGAAACAAAAGTTCCAAAGGAAATGAGATAGGAAACATCGTAATTACCATATGCCTTCTTCACCATCGTTCATCGTCTTTACTTTTGAAGAGGTGTGTGTGTGTTATTGGTTTAACGGTTTCCGTTAGACCTAAAATCTGAGAAATTCTACTCAACGCCGGTCTGTATATCCCAACCCGTTAATCTGACCCAACCCACCCGTTGATCTGTCGGGCCATACGTTAGACTTTCACCTCAACTTCAAAAGATTCTTATTACATAGTTGTCTTCTGCCTAGCCCAAGTATGGTCTAGTCGAGGGACTACATAAACGAGTTGAAGGACCAAAATGGTTATTGAGAATAACAAAACTCCTCACTTTGGCCTTTAAGATTTAAAATCGATAGAAATGGTCTTTGAATTTGTTCACCGTCAATCATTTGGTCATTCCATAAAAAATCTTTATTAAATAAGAAGAAAACGACAAAAACATCCTCAATTTTTGTCAAATTATTTTCGTCTGTTGTTTATTAAATTGAAGGTATTTTTGTTATTTTGATCCTTATTTAACAGAGCTACTGAATGACCAACAGTGGACAAACTCAGAGACTGCTTCTATCAATTTAAATTGTAGAAATCAAAATAAAAAGTTATGCAAATCTCATAGATCCTGAAATGTCAAATGTAAATTGGGGACAAACATAAAGACCCATTTACCTAATTTTCTTATTTAGAAAGAGAAAGTGGAATTCCCGCCATACACCGGGAAAAGCAACCGCTAAATATAACTGCCGCGTTTCGACACAAAACAAAACACACACACATATGATTAGCAGGAACATAAGCAGCTGCCGCGCGCCACAATTTGATCGGAATTTCTTCCTCGGACTTCTCAACAAGGCGACCTGTCTCTCTCACCTGACCCAGACCCACGCGCAGATCATCCTCAATGGTTACCAAAACGACCTCGCCACCGTCACCAAGCTCACCCACAAGTTCTCCGACCTCAAGGCCATGCGCAACGCACGTGACCTCTTCCTCTCCATCCCAAGACCCGACCTTTTCCTCTTCAACGTCGTCATCCGAGGCTTCGCTGCCAATGCCGCGCCTTTCTCTGCGATTTCTCTCTACACCCATTTGCGGAAGAATACTAATCTTAAACCCGACAAGTTTACCTACGCTTTCGCCGTGTCGGCCGCTTCGGGGTTTAAGGACGAGAAATATGGGATTTGGCTGCACGCCCATTCGATTGTTGATGGGTTAGGATCGAATTTGTATGTCGGGTCGATTGTTGTTGACTTCTACTTCAAGTTTTCCCGGGTTGAGCTAGCACAGAAGGTGTTTGATGGAATGCCCGAAAAGGACACGGTTTTGTGGAATACGATGATATCTGGGTTGGTGAGGAATTGTTATTACGCCGATTCGATGCAGGTTTTTGGAGATATGGTTGGGGGTGGGATGGGTTTTGATTCGACGACTTTGGCAACCGTGCTTCCTGCAGTGGCAGAGTTGCAGGAGTTGAAATCAGGGATAGGAGTTCATTGCTTGGCTCTCAAGGCTGGATATCATTCAGATGTTCATGTGCTTACAGGATTGGTTTCGTTGTATTCGAAATGTAAGGAGCTAGAGACAGCAAGGTTGTTATTTGGGCACATTAGTCAGCCGGATTTGATATGTTATAATGCAATGATTGCTGGATACACTTGGAACAATGAGACCGAATCATCTGTTAGTCTTTTCAGGGATTTGCTTGCTTCTGGAGAGAAAGTTAATTCAAGCACAATTGTTGGGTTGATTCCTGTGTCTTCTCCCTTTGGTCATCTGCATCTCACTGGCTCTCTTCAAACCTTCTGTGTGAAATCTGGTATTGTTTCGCATCCTTCTGTCTCGACTGCGTTTGTTACTGTTTATTGTAGACTGAATGAGATTGAATTGGCACGACAGCTTTTTGATCATTCCAAGGAGAAAACTTTGGCATCTTGGAACGCCATGATCTCGGGTTATACCCAAAACGGGCTGACGGAGACTGCAATATCTCTTTTCCACGAAATGATGTCTGAATTCAATCCAAACCCTGTTACAGTTACAAGTATTCTTTCGGCCTGTGCTCAGCTCGGAGCCATAAGTCTTGGGAAATGGGTCCATGGTTTGATTAAGAGTAAAAATCTTGAGTCTAACATCTATGTATTGACTTCTCTAGTTGACATGTATGCAAAGTGTGGGAGCATTGTGGAAGCTCGGAAGTTATTTGACTTGATGACAGAGAAAAATGTGGTTACTTGGAATGCCATGATATCTGCTTACGGCCTTCATGGTGATGGGCACGAAGCACTAAAACTCTTTACAGAGATGTTGCATTCTAGGATTTCCCCAAGCGCGGTTACTTTTCTATCCGTCTTGTATGCTTGTAGCCATGCGGGCTTGGTGAGAGAAGGTGAAGAGATCTTCGATCATATGGTTCACAATCATGGCTTTGAGCCCTTGCCCGAGCATTATGCCTGCATGGTTGACATCCTTGGCAGAGCTGGAAAGTTAGAGAAGGCGTTGGAATTTATAAGGGAAATGCCAGTTGAGCCAGGTCCTCCCGTTTGGGGTGCATTGCTTGGTGCTTGCATGATTCACAAGAGCACCGAACTGGCGCGTGTGGCTTCTGAAAGGCTATTTGAACTGGACCCAGATAATACAGGATATTATGTCTTGCTCTCCAACGTATACTCAGCTGACAGGAACTTTCCGAAGGCTGCTTCAGTACGACAGGTAGTTAAGAATAGAAATTTGGCAAAGACTCCGGGATGCACTCTCGTTGAGATTGGTGAGACCCCGCATGTGTTTACATGTGGTGATCGATCTCATCCTCAAACAACGGCAATCTACAGGATGCTGGATGAGTTAATGGGAAAAATGGCAGGAGGCTGGATTTCAGACTGAAACTGTGACTGCTTTGCATGATGTTGAGGAGGAAGAGAAGGAGTTAATGATGAAGGTTCATAGTGAGAAGCTGGCCATTGCTTTTGCGCTGATTGAAACAGCACCCGGGACAGAAATTAGAATCTTTAAGAATCTCCGGGTTTGTTTGGATTGCCATAATGCAACTAAATTTATATCCAAGATCACAGAAAGAGTTATTGTAGTTAGAGATGCTAATAGATTCCATCATTTCAAAGACGGAGTTTGTTCCTGTGGAGACTATTGGTGACAAAAAGTTATCTGCACCGGTATGCAAGCATCAAGTTCTGCAGTTTCATGTTGCTTCCATGTGGTAAAACTGGAGAGTCACTTCATCAATAACTTTCACAGCTTAAGAAGGATACTGAAGGACATTCTTCGCCGAAAAATAGATGAAGCTGAACCCCGTCCGATACTCTGTCATGGAACGACTAAATTACAGGAAACACAGGAAAGACTTGTTTCAACACTCTCTTCCTAGTGTACGTCCGGCAAGCACCTGTAGCATATATCCTGCACTGTATTCTGATTCACCTGGCTATTCAGTACAAACCTCGACGATCTACGAGATATTACATTCTTGATCTGGTGCTCATTTTTCAATAGCAAATTATTTTGTATTTTATTTGGTGATAGCATTTTTAACTTCAGAATAGAAGAAATTGTTCAAATAAGCTCACTGCATCGAATTTTCGATGCTTATGTTTCTTACACCCTTTTTCAATAATTATTTCAATAATGCTTTCTTTCTTTTGTGCTAAACCCGAAATTAGAAGAAAAACTTGTGATGCACCCGTTGCATCCATCTCACTCACATTTGCAACATCATGTGAGCCGCACATGACCATATACGTTTGGTGGATGTTGCATGCAAGTTTTTCTTGTAAATCAGACATTAGTAAGATGCAAATGGCGGTGTCACAACACAAGAACAGAGTAATAAACTAAGAATCCACTAAGCTCCGTTGTGAGTGAGTTAGTTCCAAAGTCATGACAAACAAAACTTTTCCAATTCACTTATGGCTGGTTTGGGGTTGTGGTGTTTTTTTTTTATTTTTATTTTTTTTAACTTATTAAAAAATCTGAAACATCAAATGTGTTTGGTAAAAAAAAAAAAAAAAAGTGCATAGTTGAAAAACGGTTGTCAATGACAGTAGAAAAGCAAAAGCAAGGTCTAACATGCTTCTGAAAAAGTGCTTTCTTTTTTTCAAAGCACATTACCAGTATCCCCTCTACATTTTACAATATGATAGTCTTTGCCCCTGCATTATTGTCTTTGGCAATTATTATATCACATTAAATACCGTATCATTTTGAGTCATTTAACATATTCACATAGATATTATATAAAAGTTTACTCAACACTTAGATACGATTTTTATGGTTAAAAGCACTTTACAAAAAAGTTTACCAAACACCCAACAACTTTATTTTACAGCTGTTTATTTTCACAACATAACAATACCAAACTACCCTTAGAAAACTTGGTACATTGATTGCACTTCAAGGCTACACACAAACTTGGTACCTTACTCTACCTTTATTCATACTTGTGCATGCTCTATAAAGATATATCTTCTGCAGATGCACATTTCAGAAAAGGATGAAGGAATACAAGTATTTTCAGCAATTGATTCCGCACTGTTTCGTGTCAGGTCCCTTGGTTTGCAACACAAATGGATCAATTCGGATCCAGAGTAACGAGAAGATGGAAGCCAGGAGAATTGACCAAATGATGACAATGGTTGGCGTCCGGTTCTGCCTCCCCATAAGACCTTTAAGGAAGGGATAGAGATGAACAATCACCCAAAAAGCAAAGAAGAGCTTCCCAAGCAGAGGCCCCATAGATTGGTTCCCGTTGTTTATGGCGTCTGAAATCCCAGCAACGACTCCAATAAGGTTGATGACTAAGATTGTGGTTGGAGGGATGAGGAGGGTTGTCCATTTCAACGCGTATAATTCTCCAAAATCCTCATCATCTGGGGACTTGGCTGTGACTGTGAAGTTGGTGTCAATGCCGGCTAAAACCTTGAGAAGACCTTGCACAACAGCGAAGAGGTAAGCTGAGACACCACCAATCACCCAGAACTGCTCGTTTCTCCACCATTCTTCCATGCTCACTCCGCTCCATCTCAGCTCAAGAATGCCAGTTCCAAAGATTGAGAGAAACAGCGCGATGACGTTGAGGCTTGCAAAAGTGCTTATCTAGAATTTGAAAAAGAAACAAAAGGACACAACTTTATCACATGGGAAATCTGTGCAGAACAAGCATGGGGTTCAACTTCTATGTTTTTCGGATGATTAATACAATCATTTTGGTTATTTACTGTCTTCTACGATTCAATGTGATGCAAAAGATAGCTAGAAATTGTTACCTCTGGCATGATGAATTTATCAGTGAGCAAGCAGACGGCGGGGAGGATACAATAGGCAAGAAGAGGAAGGGAGGTGAAAGGGTAGACAGTAGTGTTGACATAAGCAAATCGCTCGAGCCACTTGAGCTTCCCTCCCTTGTAGCCATACCAGAGTGGACTGTGGCGACTGAAAAAGATCTCAATGGAACCAAGTGCCCAACGAAGAACCTGGTTGAGCCGATCTGACAAGTTGATGGGAGCTGTACCCTTGAATGCAGGTCTATCTGGCATACAGTAAATTGACCTCCAACCACGGCAATGCATCTTGAAACCCGTTAGGATGTCCTCTGTGACAGATCCGTAAATCCAACCTAGCTGCATATATCCAAAAGTAGCAACATATTCCACAATGAATCAAGAAAATCTGCACTAACTTGACTCATAAGGTATCCAAATTTAACAGCGAATGATAAAAAAAAATTGCTGAAAATTTTACCTCTAAACCCCATTCAGTATTGTCTTCATAACCGCAACTGATCACTAGAATGGCTTCCTTAAGCAACGCTGCTGGGCTTGAGGAAGAAGGGACACCGCCTTGTTCCATCATTGTTGAAGTCACGAAAATTGCAGACTCTCCGAATTTCTTTTCAAAATTCATTTGGGACATCAGTAGCTTTTTGTCACCATGCATTCCTACTCAATATTATGTAACTTTAAGTTTTACTTAAGCCAAAAAAACATAAACTCTCATTGAAAATGATTAATTTTGATAAATCACCTTGTAGATTTGGAGCATCTCCATTTGCATCATGCTTGGAGTACTTTGGAAGATTCTTGCGGCGTCCAAAACACGGGAAGCAGTCACAGCTTGCCATCTTCGGGCGCTTAGGACCCTTCGGAGGATCATAGCCATATAAAGCTTGCCTTCTGAACACACATCCTGTGCCCACACACACAGGACCTTGAATTCCATCCAGACCTTTCATGTTAATCTGAAAATTAAGAAAATTGAATATTATTTTAGTAACACAATTATATGTTAGAAAACAATTGATCTTGGTGCTTCCTGTGGTGATTACTTACATCGAAAAAGACTCTATTTCTGTTCGCAGTAACGATCATTTCTGTCAATGCCGTCAAATCTTTGAGGGAACTGGACATAGCAAACCTTCCTTCCAATTTGGGGGTCCATCAAGAAACACATGGCCTCTCTTGCAGCCTTGCTGTTGTTTACATAATGATCACAATCCAAGTTGAGTAGGAAAGGAGCATTTGTAAGTACTCCCGAGACACGAACCTGATCATATGCATACGATTAGAAGTTTTTACTTGGTATTCAAGCAAACAGAAGAAAAGGAATGCTTAAATTGAAAGTTTTGTTTAGTTACCAGGGCATTCATGGCACCGGCCTTCTTATGATGTTGAAAACCAGGCCTCTTCTCACGAGACACGTAGACAAGACGAGGAAGCTCATTCCCTTCGGTATCAAGGCCTCCGCTGTGACCAAGAAAGACTTGGATCAAGCCAGGGTGATCCTGAGTGTTGTTTCCCGGCCACGGTGTCCCATCTTGCATAATCCACCCTTCTGGCGGAACCTTTGTGGATTTCGCAACAAGCGCGTTTATCCTAACCTTGAATTCCTCATACTCTCTCTGCATTTTTGCATACGTAAAAAAATTATGATTAGTCAGCCCCCGTCCTAATCAAGCGGGTTCTAGTAGTGACATGAACGCGGTTATATATGCATGCAATACCTTCATAGCTCGACGCTCCTCAACAAATGTTGGCTGGGCCTTGTCCTTGAGATAATCAATCTTCTCACAGAAGTAGAACTCAGGGGCTCGAGGCTCAATAGAGAATTTCTTGCAGAAAGGTACCCATTTGCGCGCAAATTCAGCAGTTTCTGATAAGGCTTCGAAGGTGAGCATGGAAGCTCCATCATCAGAGATGTAGCATGAGATCTTGTCAACAGGGTAGTCCATGGACAAGATTGAAAGAACTGTGTTGGCGGTATTAAGTGGAGGTTCCTTCATGGGATCCACAGTACTCACAAACACATCTACCGGGCAGAGCATGTTCGGTTCACCCTCCCTCTCATATCTGCATCGGTGATACCGTTGTATTAACTTAGTAACTGGTTAGCGCTTTGATGCTAATGTACACATACTTAACAACTGTGCGAATATATACCTGAGGGAAAGACGATCGAGGTAGGTCTTACGATCAATGGGGTACCACTTTGGGAACTGATCAAGGATCCATGAAAGTGCAAACCATATTTCACACATGACAGACACTAACCAGAGACCAAATGCGTCATTGACCGGATTCAAAAGCCTGTATCGAAGAAACAAGGCCAAAATGAAAAGCCGAGCCACAATGATCATCCGATAAGGGTTGATCTTGCCCAACGCAATTGGTACTTTCCTTGAGAGTGGCTGCCTAGCTCCATCTATCCTGCATTATGCAGTACCAATACACAACATTATATTTGTTAGTAAATGAAATTAAGGACTTAATTATTGGGTTGAATTGAGTTAATTAGCTTCATTAAAAAGTGTTGGAGTTTTGAGACTCCTTGTCCCACATCGGGGACATATCTTCCTTATTAGGGTTTATATATGTCGCATTTTGACTTGGGCCATTTCGAATGAGGATTGAAGGCTTGGGCTGATGATTGTGTGTGGATTAGGTTTCTATAATATACCTTAATATAATTAATATTAATTAATCAAGACAATGGTATGGGACATTTTAATTAATATATTAAAAATATTTTGATTAAAAAACACAATTTTTGAAAAGAGTTGTGTATTTTCAAATACGATCAACATGTATTTGAAAAGGTATGAAACAACCTATATATGTTCAGTCTCAATTTTCAATAGAGATATCTTTTTCCTTTCTTTCTCCCGTACAAAAACTGCCAGAGCATAAACACATAAAGCAATTCGCCATAATTCTGCAATTGGGTCCGGATTGAAGAATTAGAAAGTTGTATCCTGGTCGAGTAGACGTCATCAAACCACACAACCGTAAGAGTGGAACGGAAATATTGTTCAAATGACATAGCTTTGCGCTAGCCTCTATCTGTCAACCAAGTTAAATAATTTTGTTTTCTGTAATTATTTTGTCATTATTCCATTTTGTATTACAAATATATTTCTTAATAAAGAATCAATTCATTTCAAATTCTGTTATTATTTTAATTTTTGAATTGGCCTCCAACAAAAAGCATATGTGTATATGTATACGTACATGGCCATGTCGGCATCATTCAAGCCATCAGGTTGATCACTGCCGCCAAGGTTGCCCTGCTGCATTACCTGCACGAAATTAAGAACGCAAATATGCACACGAGTTAAAGACAGTAATAAATAATCTTGATGCATGACCATAATATCTTGAGAGAGCTGCTATTCGTACTCCAAAAGAGTCATTAAGCACTCGGTATTACCGGGTGGGATCTGACTCCGGCGATTACGGGTGGGAAATGTGACTCCCGATCAGGATCATCGGGGCCTCTTCCATAGCTCTTCGTTCCACGGAGCCTGGCTTCAGCCAGCCTGCTTATTGTTAGTCTTATAATAGGGCGATCTGGTGGCGTTGTTGCCGTTAATCTGATCGTAATCATCTTCCGATGATCGTGATTAATGTTGAATTCGTGTTCAATGTCATCAATGTCCTCTTCGTCGTCGTCTCCTTCGATTCGGGGGCTGCCTTTGAGACGCTTGTATCTGGTTTTGCACTGAGGGCAGTTCTGGGTGCCTTCCCTCCGCTCGTACTCGTAGCAAGGCCTGCACACTGGGAAGCCACAATCGTTGCACGCCACGAACAAGTTTCCGTCCACCGTCAACCCCACGCCATCGCCGCATATCTCGCACACCTGTACGTCCAAGTTCCTCGATGGCTTGTGCTGCATCCATCAAACACAAACAATAATACTTCAGTCCAATTCACAAAATAATTAAAATCAAAGCGTAGTTGCTGAAGAATACAAGAATCTCACGTTAAAAGTTGAAAAAAATTAAATGTGACGTTATACACGAGGGTGCACACATGACATGTTGTGCAGATGGTTAGATGCAAGTGTGAGAAAAATATAATATCAGCGTGGTTAGTAGTGGGTTAGTGACCATTTGTACATGTAGTCACACATACCAAAATACACTCTAGTTATAAGACATGCTAATCTTTTATTTAAAAAGACATGATTAGACGAGATTAACTCTTTGACGCTGGTAAAGGGATAAAGTGTCATCCTCTCTTTATCCCGAGTGAGAGAGGACCAACACATTCAGAAACCCCTCGACCATCCCATATTTTTATTAAACAAACCTCGCAGAGAGAGAACCAACAAAAGAGAGTCTAAACACCATCAAAACAAACCATAGGTGAAATTATTAGCTACCTCTTCATGGCCATGAATGACGACGAGTTCATTGCGGTTGTGAGACCCTGCAACAAGTCCGGCGCTGGCTTCCATGGCGGCAGCCTGTCTCGATTTGTGGTTTGAGAGCGATCAATAATACTGATGATCTAGGAATGGTGAGGTTTCTATTTGATGATGAACAATGGAAGTAGCAAGCTAGCTATAAGGAGGGTGGCATGGGATATTTGGTGGTGAGGTCCCTCTCACCTCCTCTCACCTCCTCTCACCTAATGGATTATGTGTGTGTCTGTGAGAGAGAGAGTCTACATCACTACAAACAGAAAAATCACGCCGGCGTATATCAGACGGAGCATCAGCAATGTAACTTTTTATCCCAAAGCAGACCTCCGAGCTGATATTCAAGTACCCATAATATTAAAAAAAAAAAAAATACAATCTTTTTCCGTCAACAAAAGGCCAAGCTTTCTAAAAACAACAAAAGCTACTTAGTATTACGGTTTAATGATATTTCTCTTAACTCATAAGCGAGAGGTCTTAGGTTCAATTCTCATCAATGACGAATTTTAACCGTTGATTATCGTTTATGTTTACGCTTCATTCTTCTCATCGAATTTCCTTTTTTCAAATTTTCTTTTTTGAAAACATGATCTTTTAGTGGATTTAAAAAGATGAACGACTCAGATCATTGATGTCACGTTCAGATTTTTACAGTTATTGAAAATATTGCTTGGAGTTTATAAAATCTTTGAAACTATATAACGTCGACTCATATTTTAGTTAACCGTAAAAATCAAAATGTGATATCAACGATCTGAACCGTTCATTTGTTTGCATTCGCTAAATGATCATGTTTTAAAAAAGAACTCTAAAAATTGAAATCCAGTAAGAAGAATAGAGCGTAAACAACAATCGACAATTAATATAAATCTAGAGTTTGTGGATTATGGTGTCGGATTTCGTATTTGACCCCTTCACAAAAATTGTAAAGCTTGTCAGTACGAGTGATATAAATATTTTTTTACATTTTTCACACTTCTGCAATAATTATTATGAATTTTTATTAAATTTTCACTCAAACAAAAAATACTATTCACGAGGGTTTGAGGTTTTTTAAAAATCTAAACGAGAATGTAACCATCGTCAAAGTATAGAGGATGCAATCACTAGTGTTTATATATTCTTTCACATTCTTCACACTTGTACATTAATTATTATGAATTTTTATTTATTTTGAACTCCCCTAAAAATACTATTCACAAGGGGTTGTAGGGTCTTGAAATTTTAAAGGATGATGTGCCCATCATAAAAGCATAGAGGATGCATTCACTAGCATTTATATATTTTACACATTCTTCACACTTGTAAATTAATTATTATAAATTTTTATTGTGTTGTGTATTTTTAAATTGCTTTGGTATTTTTAATATGCTTTAGAATTTTTTAATCTTATTTATGTGAGATTAAGAGAATAAAACATTTATGAGTACGAGAGAGTCAAAAACTTTATTAGATTTGACTCTAAAATTGCCGGCCTGCCTAACTAGAGAAGATCAGAACTAATGGAGATGAACAAAATGTATGCCCTAGAAAGTTAGAGAACAAATTATCTTTGTATTTAATTTGGTTATAGCATTTTTAACTTCAAAATAGAACAAATTGTTCAAATAAGCACGTCTAACTGCTTCGTGTTGAAAAGTCTGATGGCAATGAATGCCCACACAGTATGTTAGCAAAAGTCTTCAGCATGGGCAGAAGTTTTCAATGCCCATGCAAAGTGAAAGTTGAATACATAGAGATTGTATAGTCAGACGAAGTGTCGTAAATTTCAAAATGCATTAACTGCATCAGTTTGGAGTTGCTCTATAAATAGAGCACTCCGCATGTTTTTAAGTTACAAGAAAAGATAAGAAGAAGTGAACGAGAGAAAAATATCAGTAACATCATCTATTTCTCTGCTTTTATTTGTTATTTGTCTGTGCTATAGTTTTAGTGTGGCATTTTACATCTACCTTGCACCTACCATTAAAAAGGTTATTCCTCTAACTTTGACCTTTTTATAACACTTCGAATTTTCGATGCTTATGTTTCATACACCCTTTTCTAATTGTTATTCTGAGAAATTTTTTCTTTCTTCTGTGCTAAACCCTAAATAAGGAGAAAAATTTGTGGTGCACCCATTGCATCCGACATCTCTCTCACATTTGCAACATCATGTGAGCAGCACATGATCATATACGTAAAATAGATGTTGCATGCAAGTTTTTCTCATAAATCAGATGTAAAGTAGATGCGAATGGGGGTGGAACAACATAAGAACATAACAGTAATTTGAGAATCCATTGAGCTTCTTGTGAGTTAGTTCCAAAGGCATTACAAACAACACTTTTCCAATTTAGGCGGGCGCCTAGGCAAATTTATGTAAATTTATTATATATCTTGTAAATAAGTGTCTATTTACACGTAAAAAAAAAAAAAACTATACTTGTATGGATAATAAAAGAATGATAAAATGCAAAAATAGAAGTAGAAGAATACATGAAGTATATACATCTAAAAAGTTCAATATTTAAAAAAAAGTAAGCATATAATCATAATGAGGAGGATTCTTGGATGATAAACTAAATTCTTCTTGTTCATGATCCTTGCATTGGATTGGACATAGATTAAATTATTTAACCTTATTGTATCTAGTTTATTTCTTTTCTTTGTATGTATCCCCTAAAAAATGCTCCAATTTGTTTCACTCTTGGATGAACTTGTAGTAAATCCATCATTTGCAAATTAGGTACATCATTTCCATAAGTATAACACCATGAAACCAAAAAAGAAAAAAGCACACAATTAATAAAAAATAAAAAAAAGGGCCTAAGACCACCTAGAAGTCGTCTAGCTCTCCGCCTAGGAGCGCTTAGGCGGCCGCCAAGCTCCAGACCAATTTTTCGAAACGATTTGCCCTAAATCGCGGCGGGCCTTCACCGCCTAGTGCCTAGGCAGCCACCTAGGTCGATTTTTAGAACACTGCTTACAAAACTTGGTACATTGATTGCATTTAAAGCTACACACAAAATTCTTACACTACCTTTATTCAATCTTATATATCTTCTGCAGATGCACATTTCAAAAAAGGATGCAAGTATTTTCAGCAATTGATTCCGCATTGTTTCGTGTTAGGTCCCTTGGTTTTCAACACAAATGGATCGATTCGGACCCAGAGTAACGAGAAGATGGAGGCCAGGAGAATTGACCAAATGACGACAATGGTTGGCGTCCGGTTCTGTCTCCCCATAAGACCTTTAAGGAAGGGATAGAGATGGACAATCACCCAAAAAGCAAAGAAGAGCTTCCCAAACAGAGGCCCCCATGATTGGTACCCATTGTTTATGGCGTCCGAAACCCCAGCAACTACTCCAACAAGGTTGATGACTAAGATTGTGGTTGGAGGGATGAGGAGGGTTGTCCATTTAAACGCATATAATTCTCCGAAATCCTCATCATCTGATGACTTGGCTGTGACCGTGAAGTTGGTGTCAATGCCTGCTAAAACCTTGAGAAGACCTTGCACAACAGCGAAGAGGTGAGATGAGACACCACCAATCACCCAGAACTGCTCGTTTCTCCACCATTCTTCGATGCTCACTCCACTCCATCTCAGCTCAAGAATGCCGGTTCCAAAGATTGAGAGAAACAGAGCAATGAAGAAGAGACTTGCAAAGGTACTTATCTAAAATTTGAAAAAGAACAAAACAACACAACTTTGTCACATGGGAAATCTGTGCAGAACAAGCATGAGGTTCAACTTCTATGCTTTTCAGATGATCAATACAATAATTTTTTGTTATTTATTGTCTTCTATGATTCAATGTGATGCAAAAGATAGCTAGAAATTGTTACCTGTGGCATGATGAATTTGTCAGTGAGCAAGCAGACAGCGGGGAGGATACAATAGGCAAGAAGAGGAAGGGAGGTGAAAGGGTAGACAGTAGTGTTGACATAAGCAAATCGCTCTAGCCACTTGAGCTTCCCTCCCTTGTAGCCATACCAGAGTGGACTGTGGCGACTGAAAAAGATCTCAATGGAACCAAGTGCCCAACGAAGAACCTGGTTGAGCCGATCTGACAAGTTGATGGGAGCTGTACCCTTGAATGCAGGTCTATCTGGCATACAGTAAATTGACCTCCATCCACGGCAATGCATCTTGAAACCCGTTAGGATGTCCTCTGTGATAGATCCGTAAATCCAACCTAGCTGCATATATCCAAAAGTAGCAACATAGTCCACAACGAATCAAGAAAATCTGCACTAACTTGACTCATAAGGTACCCTGAATTTAACAGCGCATAATAAAAAAAATTGCTGAAAATTTTACCTCTAAACCCCAATCGGTTTTGTCTTCATAACCACAACTGATCACATGAATGGCTTCTTTAAGCATTGCTGCTGGGCTTGAGGAAGGAGGGACACCGCCTTGTTCCATCATTGTTGAAGTCACGAAAATTGCAGACTGTCCGAATTTCTTTTCAAAATTCATTTGGGACATCAGTAGCTCTTTGTCATCATGCGTTCCTACTCAATATTATGTAACTTTTAGTTTTACTTAAGCCAGGGGAAAAAAAATAAAGAATCATCGAAAATGAAAATCACCTTGTAGGATTGCAGCATTTTCATTTGCATCATGCTTAGAGTACTTTGGAAGCTTCTTGCGGCGTCCAAAACATGGGCAACAGTCACAACTTACCATCTTCGGGCGCTTAGGACCCTTCGGAGGATCGTAGCCATATAAAGCTTGCCTTCTGAACACACATCCTGTGCCCACATACACTGGACCTTGAATTCCATCCAGACCTTTCATGTTAATCTGAAAATTAAAGAAATTCAATTTGTTTTAGCAAGACATTCATATGTCAGAAAACAATTGATCTTGGTGCTTCCTGTGGTGATTACGTACATCAAAGAAGACTGTATTTCTGTTTGCGTAACGATCATTTCTGTCAATGCCGTCAAATCTTTGAGGGAACTGGACATAGCAAACCTTCCTTCCAATTTGAGGGTCCATCAAGAAACACATGGCCTCTCTTGCAGCCTTGCTGTTGTTT